TTGTTTTAGGAATTAGCTCTCAGGTATGAGGTGTGAGTTTTGCCAGAAGACCCTGCCACGTGTGTTGTATTTCTCTACTTTATCTGGTATGGGTTATCTGCTGTCTAGTGAGTATGAATATTGAAGAAAGGATATACCTGTCATTACATTTGTAAAGGATTCTCTTCTGTAGGAATTAATCTAATTTGCCACAATTACTAAGATTTTCGAGGTTTTTGTCTAGCATTAGTTCTTTGGTGAATCCTGATGTCACTCTGATTTTAGGTCTTCCTACATCGAATGCAGGTTTCCTTTTCACATACTAGATTAACAGATAGTTTATCTTCTTAAAATTGTTTATTTTAAATGTGCTTATGTATGTGCCTGTGTGAGATTATGCGCAGCATGTCTATGCAGGTGCCTGTGGAAGCTAGAATGTGTTGGGATCCTCAGGAACTGGAGTTACAGTTGGTTGTGAGCCACCTCATGTAGGGGATGGGAACTAAACCAGGATCCTACATATGTGTCTGTGCACCGTGCCAGGTGCCTGTGGAGACCAGAAGAGTGTGTCAGATCCCCTATGACTGAAGTTACAGAGGATTGTGAGCCACCATGTGAGTACTGAGAATTAAACCTGGATCTTCTGTTAGAGCAACCAGTGCTCTTAACCATTAAGGCATCTCTCCAGTTCCTGAGCATTTTTTTTTTTTGGACATGACCTACAATGATACACCTTAGTTATCATCAATCTCAAAGAAAAGCACGTGAGGTTGTGAGGTAGACAGGACAGCACAGCACTTTCTTCCTTTTCATTTACCCCCTACTGTGTGGCAGACGGGAGTTTTCCAATTGGACCGCATCTGTAAAGACACTTACAGCTCTAACAACTGAGCTTTGGATGATTTCCGGGAAGCTGCTTCCTTTCCGGAGCTTCACAACCTCTAGCTGCATCTGCTCTACCCATTCGACCCTATGGATTTAAGCCTTATCCGGAGCCATTTTATTTAATTTTATTTTTGGTTCTCTCTCTCTCTCTCTCTGGTGTCTCTCTGGTTTCTCTGTGTGGTTTTGGTGCCTGCCCTGGTTCTCGCTCTGTAGACCAGGCTGGCCTTGAATTCACAGAGATCCGCCTGGCTCTGCCTCCCAAGTGCTGGGATTAAAGGCGTGCGCCACCGCCGCCGCCAGCGAGCACATCATTTTAAAAATGTTATTTAGTATATGTGCATGTGACAGGTCTTCCACCCCCCTCCTTTTTAAAAAAAAAAAAAAAAAAACTTTTCTTGATAATAATTACTAAACTCAAGAAACCTGTAAAGAATGACAAAGCCAGGTGGTAGCATAGTCCTAGCATTTCAGAGGCAGAGACAGGAGGATCTCTTGAGTTTGAGGCTAGCCTGGTCTACAGAGTGATTTCCAGGACAGCCAGAGCTACACACAGAAACCCTATCTTGAAAAACCAAAAGAAGGGTGCTGCAGAGATGGCTCAAAGGTTAGGAGCACTGGCTGCTGCTGGTGCCTTCTTCTGGCCTGCAGGCAGAACACATAATAAATAAATCTTAAAAAAAAGAAAAGAAAGAAAAATAAAAACTAAAACAAAATAAAAAATAGTGACAGACAGGACTGCGAACAGGAATTCTTGCATAGCGTTTGCCACTTGACTTTGATATCTAGCACTCCATCAAGAGAGACTTACTGACTATAGCCACTTAGTCACCATAATTATATGATACACACATATCAAATACTTGGACTGCATCAGAGATGGTCCTAAGGTGTTTGTTCTTTATTCTGTTAGTATGGTGTCACTTACAGATTTGGATAAGTTAAACTACCCTTTCATGTCTTGGGTAGCTCCCACTTGATTGTGGTGTATAATATTTCTATGGGGTTGCCGGCTTTGACTGGATGGAATTTTCTTGAGAATGTTTACCTCTAGGCTCACTATAGATATTGGTCTTTAATTAGTTTTGTTTTTCCAAATATCCTTTAGAACAGGATGACCTACAATCACTATGTAGCAAAAGATGGCCTTGAATTATTGATTCTCCTGCTTCCCTTTCTAAATGCTGTGATTATAGAAGTGAGCCACCATGCCTGGCTTGGTCTGTAGGTTTTTTGTTTTGTTTTGCTTTTCTGTCCTTGTATGGTTTTGACATCAGAATAACTTTACAGAATGACTTGGAAGGATTTTCTTTCTTTTAATTCTTTTGTTGTTATGGTTTTTTGAGACAGGGTTTCTCTGTGTAACAGCCCTGGCTGTCCTAGAACTCACTCTGTAGCCAGGCTGGCCTCGAGCTCAGAGATCTACCTGCTTCTGTCTCTGGAGTGCTGGGGTTGTGTGTGTCACAATGCCTGGCATCTTTTTTTCATCTCTTTATTTTTTTTTTTCTCTATTAGTCTAGCAAATGGTTTATCTGTTTTAAAAGCCAACTGTTTCTTTTTGGTTTTTCGAGACAGGGTTTCTCTGTGTAGCTTTGCGCCTTTCCTGGTACTCGCTTTGGAGACCAGGCTGGCCTCGAACTCACAGAGATCCGCCTGGCTCTGCCTCCCGAGTGCTGGGATTAAAGGCGTGCGCCACCACCGCCCGGCCAACTGTTTTTTATTTCTTTGCTCTTCACTGCAGTCTCTATTCCTACACGTCTGTTGATTTGGAATGTAGTGTGTTATTTTCCTGAGTCTTTAATGCATTAGTAAGTTATTTGAAATATTGAACTCTAGCAGCTCCCTCACCTCCTCCTTTTCCCTCTCTCTCTCCCTCTCTAAGGTCTTGCTGTATGGCCCTGGCTGGTCTTGAGCTCTGTAGACCGAACTAGAGTTTATATTTTCCTGCCTTAACACCCATGTGCTGAGATTACAGATTGTACTCGTACACCCACAAATTAGCTTTTTGTTTGTTTGTTTGAAATATCATCTGTGTGTCCCTGTCTTGCTTGGAACACTCTGTGTAGATCAGGCTGGCCTGGAAATCACAGAGATCCTCCTTCCTCCTGAGATTAAAAGCATGCACCACTGACCAGCCAGAAAACATGAAATTTAAGCCATTCTGGTTTATTTTATCTTTGGTAAGACAGTAAACCAAGTGAGGTTGAGAAGAACATCTCTGAATGTGTGGCTTTATTCATCTCTATCTCTTGTGTGTTGTATTATCATCCTACCTTCAAGTCCTAGTATTATAGCTAACTTTGTACTTGGGGGATTTTTTATTTGATTATTCTGATGTAATAGGTGTTGGCTCACACATTAACTTTAGATTTGTTATTTGGACTTTTGGTCTAGAGAGAGAATGTACTATAAAAGAAAGTTTTGTATTGTGGAAATGGATTTCTAAAGATCAGGTATGATGGATAAAGTGGAACACTCTTAAGTAAGAGGGAACAAATAAAGTATCTGTCTTCCTTGAGGTAAAAACATCTTTAGAAACAGTTTTCTCATGTGCTTCTGCAGTTGGTCATCTTCCATTATTCTTTCTTGCCTGCTTCTCCAGTGAAGTCATAAGTAGATATTTGTGATAGTTACTTATCACCATGGTAACTAAAGAAGCAATGTGGTTCCTATTTCAGTTTAACTGTCAACTGTGCTCAAAGGAGAGGACAGCCTCTGGGACAGCACAGACTCAGTCATGAAAAACTATGTGTCAGGTAATAGAGGACAGCATTCCACAGGGGCTTGCCTTTAGTAGGCTTGCCTCTGCCTGTTCAAGGACTCGTAGAGGAAGCCACTGCAGGTCCTTATAACTTTGTGTTTGTGTGTGTGTGTACACATGTGCATGCGCGTGTGCATGCGCATGTGCACACATGGCATAGTGTATGTGTGGAGGTTAGAGGACAACAGGAGTTGATTCTCTCAAGTGTGTGAATCCTGGTAATGGAACTTAGGTCATCAGGTTTGGAGGCAAGAACCATTACCTCCTGAGCCACCTTGATGGCTTTCTTTATTGTTTATTTTTTTATTTTTATTTTATTTTTTTTTTTTTTTTTTAAAGATTTATTTATTTATTATGTATACAGTATTCTGCCTGCATGTGTCCCTACAGGCCAGAAGAGGGCACCAGATCTCATTACAGATGGTTGTGAGCCACCATGTGGTTGCTGGGAATTGAACTCAGGACCTCTGGAAGAACAGTCAGTGCTCTTAACCACTGAGCCATCTCTCCAGCCCTTTATTTTTATTTTTAATGTATATGTGTTTATACCTGATGCCCCACATGTGTGCAGGAGCCTGGAGAGGTCAGAAGAGGTGTCGGATGCCATGGAACTAGAGTTAGAGATAATTAGGAGCCACTGTGTGGATGCTGGGAACTGAACCTGGGTCCACCACAAGAACAGCACATACTCTTGGTTTTTTGAGACAGGGTTTCTCTGTGTAGCTTTGCGCCTTTCCTGGATCTCACTCTGTAGACCAGGCTGGCCTCGAACTCACAAAGATCCGCCTGGCTCTACCTCCCGAGTGCTGGGATTAAAGGCATGCGCCACCACCGCCCGGCCAGCACATACTCTTAACCACTGAATTATCTCTCCAAGTTCCTCTTGTTAGTTTTTTTGGGGGAGGTGGGGCAGTTTATGATTTATTTAGTTTTACTTTATGTGTATGAGTGTTTTACCTTCATGTATGCCGGGTACATTCAGAGGTTAGAAGAGGACCCTACATCCCTGGAACTGGAGTCACAGTCACCATATGGATTCTGGGGACTGAATCTGGGTCCTCTACAAGAGCAATAAATGCTCTTAACCACTGAGCCATCTCTACAGAGCTGCTTGGCCCTCTCCCTCCCGCCACCCCCCCCCCACCCCCAAATGATAAATCTGTGTGGACTTTGCCAAGTGGATTTCTAAGGCGCTCCTAGCTTCTGGAGGTTCCCTATGTTACTTTCTAGAATAACCAGGGACACTGCCTTTTCATTTCTTTTCAAGTCCAGAACTTGTTTGCCGCCACCTTCTCTCTCTTGATTGATGCTTTCGTTTTGTTTATGTGTGAACAGGAAATGCTACCGTCTCACAACTCTGACATATCTTCCCTTCTAGAGACCATGGCAAGCCCAGGGAAGGACAATTACCGAATGAAGAGCTATAAGAACAATGCCTTAAACCCTGAGGAAATGAGACGAAGGAGGGAGGAAGAGGGCATTCAGCTTCGGAAACAGAAGCGAGAACAACAAGTAAGTTACCTGGAGTGTTCTCCACCATACCTGTCAGGGAAGTGGCCACTTTCCAGTTGACCTTCATCTTCCCTCCTTCCTAATGCTGTGAACCTTCAATAAGTTCCTCAGGGGCTGACCCCAGCCATAATACTTGCATTGCTACCTCATAACTGTAATGTTGTTACTGTTATGAATCATAAGGTCAATATCTATGTTTTCCAATGGTCTTAGGCGACCCCTGTGAAAGGGTCATTCAATCCCCACAGGGGTCATGATCCATAGGTCGAGAACTGCTGGCCTAGGGAAATAGAGCTTATCTATCTAGCAGTCTAGTCATTCAGTTTGTTTGTTTGTCAGGGTCAGTCAGTGAACCTGAAAGCCACTGAACTGGCTTGACTAGCCAGTGAGCTCCAGAGTTTCTGCCTCCTAAGTGCTGGGATTATAGGTGTGCACTGCTCCACCTGACTCACATGGCGCTGGGGTCTGCACTTTGCAAGCACCTGACTGATTTATCCGTCTCCCCGGCCCTCCAGGTTCCTTTTGTAAAGAAATGTTGGAAACTTTGAGAAAACCAATTTCTTATCCCCTTTTGTTTTTCGAGACACCATTTCTTTGTGTAGCCCTGGCTATCCTTGAACTCACTCTTTAGACCAGACTGGCCTTGAACTCAGAGACGCTCCTCCTGCCTCTGCCTCCGCCTCCTGAGTGCTGGCAGTAAAAGTATTCGATACTACCCCCCAGCCTTCAAACATCGTTTTTATCTTACATAGTTCTAGCTTCTTGTTCCTTGTGGTTTTGTTTATTTGGTCCCTTGGTGTGTGGATTGAGATGTAAGTTGTAGGTGCCATGGCGTGTGTGTGGAAGTCAGAGGACATCCTCTGGTACTCGGCTCTCACCTTGCACCTTGTTTGAGACTGGATCTCCTGTTTTGTTTTGTGTTGTTCAATGATGCCTAGCCCGCCCATCTTGCCTCCCATCTTACTGTAGTAGCTCTGGGATTACAGCTGCCCTTTATATGGGTGCTAGGGATTCAAACTCAGGTCCTCATGCTTGTTCAGTTCAGCAAGTGCTTTACCCACTGAACCGTCTCTTAGCCCTCTCTTTTGTTCATCTTTTAGCATAATTTAGTACTGGAGAGATGGCTTAGCTGTTAAGAGCGATTACTGCTCTTGCAGAGAACCCAGGTTCGGTTTCTAGACCTATGTGGTGGTTTATAACCATATGTGTCTCTAGTTTTTTTTGTTTGTTTGTGTTTGGTTTGGTTTTCAAGACAAGGTTTCTCTATAGCTCTGTAGACCAGGCTGGTCTCAAACTCAAGAGATCTGCCTGCATCTGCCTCCTGGGATTAAAGGTTTGTACCACCACTGTCCAGCTGACTTTACTTCTAAGGGATTTGATGCACTCTTGTGGCCTCTGGGCTCCTCCATACATGTGCTATGCCTGAACTCACTCATGTTCACACACATACACATAAATTTTTTTTAATCTAAATACTTCAAAAAAAAAAAATTATTCTTGGGTTGGAGTAATGGCTCAGAATAAGAGCACTGGCTGCTCTTCCAGAGGACCTGAGTTCAATTCTCACCAACCACACAGCAGCTCACAACTGTCTATAACTCCAGTTCCAGGACTTTTGACACCCTTACACGGACATCCATGCAGTCAAAACACCAATGAACATAAAATTTAAAAAAACAAACAACAAGCCGGGCGGTGGTGGCGCACGCCTTTAATCCCAGCACTCGGGAGGCAGAGCCAGGTGGATCTCTGTGAGTTCGAGGCCAGCCTGGTCTCCAAAGCGAGTACCAGGAAAGGCGCAAAGCTACACAGAGAAACCCTGTCTCAAAAAACAAAAAAACAAAAAAAACAAACAAACAAACAAACAACTTTTTCCACTGAAAATGTGAATAGACATGACATATGTTGAATATGTTTCATTAACTACAGTTTGGCTTCATTTTCTTCATGCTGTTATTTCTTTGTTATAATGTCATAATCTAGCTTCAGGTTATTCTTTCTTCAGTTGGTGAGTAGTGCTAACTCTGTCTCCTCACTTTGCTTTTCAGCTTTTTAAGCGGAGAAATGTGGAGCTGATTAATGAAGAGGCTGCCATGTTCGACAGTCTGCTGATGGACTCCTACGTGAGCTCTACTACTGGGGTAAGCCCTTCAAAGCATGGCCACAGCTGTTCTCAGAACAGAAATCAGGTGGCCATGCCATCGTGTATCTTTGCAATCATGTTAAGCTCTTCCTTGCTTTTTGTGGTCAGTCAGCTTCAACGGTCAAGCAAGGATTCAGGGAAGTTATTGGTTACATCACAGATTAGGACTCACTTTCCAGTGTTGTATTGTGAAGCAGACTTGGACTAAAGAGGCCCTCTTCCTGGATCTATTATGTCATCCTTTTACTTGAGGATCTTAAAAAGCAGGAAGCGATGCAGGATTATATGCTCTCATCTGGCTTCATTATTATCCACAAGGTCATAAACCTGTTTTATATTCTAGGAAAGTGTGATCACAAGAGAGATGGTGGAGATGCTCTTTTCTGATGATTCTGACTTGCAGTTAGCAACCACACAGAAATTCCGGAAGCTCCTCTCCAAAGGTATAAAGTCGGCTCCTTCTCAGAGAGGTGCTGTATGATTTAACCTCCTGTCTCTTTTTACTCAACTACTGCCTATTGCTCATTCTACTGTAGCCTTCCTGACCAGGTTCTCTTTGAATAAGTCAGGCACATTCCCACTTTTACATTTGATATTCCCTCTGCTAATATCCTCTTCTCTCAAAAATCTATCAGCACTTCCTTCAACTATCCTTTATGCCACATGAGTGTGTGTGCCCACAGAGAGCAGAAGAGGATGTCAGATCCTCTGGAGCAGGAGTTATAATCTGTTATGAGCTGCTTGACATGGATAGGTGCTAAGAACAGAACGTTGCAAAAGCAGTGTATGCTTTTAACTCTGAGCTGTGTCTTTAGCCCCAGTTAGACCTTCTTAGTGAAGCCTGGCCTGATCTCTGACTCTGATCATGTTTTGGAGAAGAGTCTGCAGATAAAAGTTCTTCTTTGTTTTTCTTTCTTCCTTCCTTCCTTTATTTATCTATTTATTTATTTTTTTGGTTTTTTTTTTTCATTTTGTTTTTTTGTTTTTTTCTTTTCGAGACAGGGTTTCTCTGTGTAGCTTTGCGCCTTTCCTGGATCTCTCTCTGTAGACCAGGCTGGCCTCGAACTCACAGAGATCCACCTGCCTCTGCCTCCCGAGTGCTGGGATTAAAGGCGTGCGCTGCCGCCACCACCCGGCCCTTTCTTTTTTTAAAATGATAGTCTTGTTAGCCTTCTCAAGATCCTTCTGCCTCAACCTCCCCAGTTCTGGATTTACAGCCAGGCATTGGTAGTGCACACCTATAATCCCAGCATTGGGGACGCAGAGGCAGGTGGATCTCTGGATTCCAGGCCAGCCTGGTCTACACAGTGAAACCCTGTGTTTATATAAAAATAAAAAACTGCTTTCTAACAGCCCACCTTTCACTGCCACCATGAGTTCTGGGAGTGCAGGGGCTTTGGCTGTGTTCATACTCGGTCCTTAGTATCTAGAACAGTGTGGTACACAGAGCTGCTCTATAAAACTTGGATGTATCTGATCAGATGTGCAAGGCTCTGCTGTTGGTTTTTAGTCCTGAAAACAAGGTATATGATAACAAAAGTGTCTCTTGTTTGAGTATACTAAACATTCCTCCCAAGAAAAGAGCAGTGATCTTCGTTTGAGGGGAAATGTCTAGACTAGGGTTGCTCATTCCTTCACCTTTTCTCACTCCTTTCCTGTTGTGTTTACAGTTAGTAAGCCACAGCTGAGCACACCTAAATTAGGATTGCCTTAATACTTAAAACATGCCAGGCGTATTATGCAGTTCATAGATGAGCAAAAGGCAGTTTGGGGATGTTTGTAAGAGTGATCTGAAGCATCCAGGACTGTGAATGGGTCAGCAAAGCTTCCCTGACTTTTCGTCTTTCCTGTCTCCCTCTAGAGCCGAGTCCTCCGATAGATGAAGTTATTAACACTCCAGGAGTAGTTGACCGGTTTGTGGAGTTTCTGAAGAGGAGTGAGAATTGTACATTACAGGTAACAGCTCTCAGGTGTGAGATGGCTGGGGGAAAGTCCCCAAGAACTGACAGTGGGTTTCTGCAGGCATATCTTAAGGGAATGGAAAAGTAATAGGGAAACTATCAATTGAAATATCTTCCTTAAAAACAGTTTCAGGGCCGGGTGTGGTAGCGCAACCTTTGCACCCAGCAAAGGAAGACAAATCTCTGTGAGTTTGAGGCCAGCCAAGTCTACACAGTGAGTGTCTTTTTTTTTTTTTTTTAAAGAAAAGTATCTCAGGGCCAGTGAAATGGCTCATCAGATTAAGGCACTCCCACCAGGCCTGACAGTGTGACCTAGGACAGACATTGTGGAAGGAGAGAATTGGCTCCTGCAAGTTGTCCTCTGATCTCCACAAGCATGCCATGGCACATAGGCACACACACACAGATACGCAAAATTAAAGAAAAAAAAAAATGTTTAAGATCTCAATAATTATATGAGGCAAATTGTGAACCTGGCTGAGTTTCCACAATGTATTAACAAATGTAATGTAACAAAACATGTTAATACATGATGAAAAAATAATGCTTTAAGCCAGATGTGGCAGCATACACAAATATTTTCAGCACACAACGGGCTGGGGCATAAGGATTGCTACAAGTTTGATACCAGCCTGGATTACATACATAGCAAGGCCCTTTTGAGGGGAAGGGGGGAGAGACAGAGAAAGAAGAAAGAACGAACGAACCCACGAACCGGGTGGTGGTGGTGCATACCTTTAATCCCAGCACCTGGGAGGCAGAGGCAGGCGGATCTCTTTGATTTTGAGGCCAGCCTGGTCTACAGAGTGAGTTCTGGGACTGCCAGGACTATTTCACAGAGAAACCTTGTCTCAAAAAACAAAAAAAGGGGGCCGGGTGGTGGCGGCGCACGCCTTTAATCCCATCACTCAGGAGGCAGAGGCAGGTTGATCTCTGTGAGTTCGAGGCCAGCCTGGTCTACAGAGCGAGATCCAGGAAAGGCACAAAGCTACACAGCGAAACCCTGTCTCGAAAAACCAAAAAAAAAGAAAAAAGGAAAGAAAAGAAAACTCACAAAGGAAGTTTTTTATTTCTGAGACCCCAGAATGTAATACACTGTTTGTGACATTATAAATCCAAAGGATCTCGTGCACCCCTAACTTAGTGAACTGATGCAGATAACGCAACCTCTCTGGGTCTCTGTTCTCCAGAAACAGATAATGAGCAAGTCCATCAGAACTTGTTAGAGACGCAGCAAAGAGTAGGTTGAGAGCCATCTCAACCAGGAACGGTAGCTCATGCCTGTAATTCCAGCACATAAAGGACAGAGGCAAAAACTCAAAGCCAATCTTGGCTATGGAGCAACACCTTGAAGGGAGGGAAGTGGGAGAAGAGAACACACCATCACTTTTACCCTGGTTTCAGAAATAAAAAAACCCAAGCTCAGAACATGAGAAAGTAAGCCATGGGTATTGGTTGTAGTTCAGGACTCCGTTAGCACATTGCTGCTCTTCTGCTACTTAAAGGATGGTGGGCAGACATGTGTTTGGTTTTGGTTTCTTTATGTGCTACATATTACTATTCTGAGGCAGACGGTAGGTATGGTTGCTCAGTCTGTAATGACCTCTCAGTTGTGGCCTAATCTCACTTTTCAGTTTGAAGCTGCCTGGGCTCTAACAAACATTGCCTCTGGAACCTCTCAGCAGACCAAAATTGTCATTGAAGCAGGAGCTGTCCCCATTTTTATTGAGCTGCTTAACTCAGACTTTGAAGATGTACAAGAACAGGTAATACTCAAGATTTCATTCTGATGGTATGGACAGTATAATAACATTTTTATTTGGAGGCAGGCTCATTGGCACATGGCTTTTAATCCCAGCACTCCAGAGACAGAGGCAGTCAGATATCTGTGAGTTTGAGGACAGCCAAGGCTGTGTAGCAAGACCCTATCTTAAAAAGCGAAAACAAAAAATAAAAAGTGTGTTTTCAGGTTTTTATCCCAGGTCTTTGAATGGTGCTCTTATCACTTGTTACTTATAGAGCCCCATTGGAACCACCTCAGTCCGTATAAAGAAGTTAATCAGAAGGGAGCAGCTAGGTCGCCTTTGGATGGGTTTGGTCCCTAGCATGGACAGGCATAGAGTTAGGGGGTAAGAACTTAGACCACGCCTCTCTGTAACATACAGGTATTGCTTTGGAGATTGGATTATGAAAACACTTGAACAGTGAGGGGCTAGAGAATGTGGTTCAGTTGGTAGGGTACTTGCTTAGTATGTATGACTAAATCCCTGGGTGCAGTCCTCAATACCACAAAACCCCAGCAAATCGGTAATCCCAGTACTTTGGAGATAAAGGCTGAAGGATCCCGGGTTCAAGGTTGTCCTTGGATGCATAGCAAGCTTAAAGCCAACCTGCTTCAAAAAAACAGAAATCAGTGCACTTGAACAATGAGAATTTCCCAGAGAATAAGCCTATTCATGCACTGGGAAGGTGGCAGAGGTCTTAAAAGCTGTGTGTTATCACCTCTCTCTCCCCTCTGTCCTGTCCTGTTCCATTTGTCCTTTCCTGAATCACATCCTTGATGATAAACTGAGTAAACACAAATAAATTGTTGTGTTTTTTTCTGGTTACCTCAGTCATTCTAGTGAACTAATAAGCTAAAAGAATTGTAAGAATCGCCATTGTCCAAAGTGGGTTCAGTTCTCCAAGACTGACCTGTGGCATCTGTGCTAGATCCAGGAGTTAGTATTGCAATTGAATGAAACTATCAGACACACAGTTGATGTCAGAGAATTAGTTGTTAGTGTGGGATACAATTTATCAAAGGTGCTATTAGAAAAGATGCCACACTGTGGAGAAAAAGACACAACTCCATTTCTCCTATGGATTCGTGCTAGTTTCATAGAAATGGAGAGAGGTAGTTGGGCATGGTGGCAGACACCTATAATCTCTTTGAGTTCGAGATTACATAATGAGTTTCAGGCTAGGCAGGGCTTCATAATAAGACCCACCTGAAAATACATAAACAAATAAATAGAGAAGACTTGATGTTCCGGATATGAAAATGAGTTAGCCTGTGATACTTACACAGAAGTGGAGAATAGTGATGGGCTCTTTCTCTTTTACCTGGTGTAGCTCTGGTCTGTGGTGGAGAGAGAAACTAGTCTTTCTGATGGCTTTCTCCCCTTCTCATGGAAGGGATGAGGTGGTAGTTTGGTGTCTCTGGCTTCAGTTTAGATGGCAGCCCGTCTTCCCCCACAACACCAGGGCCTTCTGGGAAAGCTCTGATAGAGCAAGTGCTAATCCAGGGTTCTAGAAGAGAGATCACTTGAGCTTGCTGTCAAGCCCTAACACTGTCCTTGCCCTGATTATGAGAAGTCACAAAATCCAGGCAGTGATGGCGCATACCTTTAATTCCATCACTGGGGTAGGGATTGTGGTGTGGTGTGCAGAGGCAGGTGGATCTCTGAGTTTGAGGCCATCATGGTCTACAGAGCAAGTTCTAGGACAGCCAAGACTATACAGAGAAAACCTGTCTCAAAAAACTAAAACAAAACAAAACAAAAAATCAACCAGGAGTCAGAGAAGCTACCAGGCTCTGTGAGTGACAGTTCATTATCCCTTTTCAGGCAGTCTGGGCTCTGGGAAACATAGCTGGAGACAGTTCCGTTTGCAGAGATTACGTCTTGAATTGTTCCATCCTTAATCCTTTGTTAACGTGAGTAATTGCGATCATTTGCACTTGGGGCATCTGTAGGGTTGCTAAGTGGCAGTACATTTTGTGGGCAGCTTACTTGATTCCTTAAGATAGAAAAGCACTGGGCTGGGCGGTAGTGGCATATGCCTTTAATCCCAACATTCAGGAAGTAGAATCAGGCAGAGCTCTTGTTCCAGACCAGGCTGGTTTACAGAGAGAGTTTCAGGACAGCTATGGCTGACCAAAGAAGCCCTATTTTAAAAATAGATAAATAACATAAAAATAGATAAATAAATAAAGCCTGATGTAGTGGTGTGCGCCTTTAATCCTAGCATTTGAGAGACCAACCTGGTCTCCATAGCAAGTTTCAGATCATCCAGGAATACACAGGGACCCCTTTTCAGGATCGAAAGAGTCTGGGTTTGCCTCTAGGTTTTAGTGGTAAGCGCCTTGTGCTAGAAGGTCCGTGCTCCGATTATAGCTTTGTTGTTCCTTCAGACTCCTTACTAAGTCCACACGACTGACAATGACTCGGAATGCCGTCTGGGCCCTGTCAAACCTCTGCCGAGGGAAGAACCCGCCTCCAGAATTTGCAAAGGTGAGAGCTGCTTATAACTGCGACCAGATTCCATTATAGGAAGTCTGTTTCAGTTTTGGGAGGACCCCTGAGAGTCTCAAATCACGTGAAACTAAAAGGCACTTGTAGTGTAGCAGGTGATCTTGTGTACCTTGGTAGGAAAGTAAAGGGCGGGCCTGCAGGTTTGATGACGTTTCCAAGCTCTAGAATTACGGGAAGGGGTGGCATGATAGGCTCAGTGATAGCCTGATGTAGCCCTGCTCTCAGTCCTCCTCACTCTGCTTCCAACAGGTCTCTCCTTGTTTGCCTGTATTGTCTCGGCTACTCTTCAGCAGCGACTCAGACTTACTGGCCGATGCTTGCTGGGCCCTCTCTTACCTGTCTGATGGGCCCAATGAGAAGATCCAGGCAGTCATAGACTCTGGAGTCTGTCGGAGATTGGTAGAACTTCTGATGTAAGTTGTTTCAGTTTAAGAGGGTAAAAGTTTCCTTAGCTTTACCAAGTTCCAAGAGCTCCATCCTAAGCTGGGCATGGTGGTGTATGCCTGGAATCCCAGCATTTAATGGAGGCTGAGGCAGCCTGAATCACAAATTCAAGGATAGCCTGAGCTGCCGAATGAGACTGTCTCATAAAACAAAACAAAAAAAAAACCCTCTGAACAGCAGATTGCTGACCTACTCCAGGTCTGGAGATCTAAGGAATGCTGCCAGCCTTGGTTTCCAGCAGGGCTGAACATGATGTGTTGCTTCACTGCTAATGAGCTGTTCTTCCTCTGTAGGCACAACGATTACAAAGTGGCATCTCCTGCCTTGAGAGCTGTGGGTAATATAGTCACTGGGGATGACATCCAAACCCAGGTAAGAAGAGGGGAAGAGGATCTTAACTCAGGCCAGCTGTGGGAGAACAAGCAGGGAGAGCTGCCTGTGGACAAAAGTCTTCCTCTGTAACGAGGCTGCACGGTCTAACAGAGAAAGAATGAATGGCTTTCTATAACATGGTTTTAGCACTGTCACTCTCCGTATTATCAGAATTCCTTCTTCTCCCAAACAAATTAGAAACAAACCATCCAGTTGGTACTTGTGAAAAGAAAGCTAAATGGAATGGTGTATTTACTGGGACATTATAAGGAGTTACAGCTGATCTGGGATCCTTTTGAGAGACTGGACACCGTGGGCTCCACCAATTCTTGCTAGACCTTGCATCACCTCGTGTTAACCTCATGTTAACCTTTTGAGCGATGTGTGGCCCACACCTGCAATCCTAGCACTTAGAGGTTAGAAGCAGAAGGGTCAGGTAGTTCAAGGCCATCCTCGACTACATGAAACCCTATCTCAAAAAGCCAAAAATATGAAAAATGATTCCTTCAAACCAGCAGCAGAGTGGTGCATCTACTGGGGAGGCTGAAGTGGGAAGGATCACATGACCCCAAGACCTGGGGACCAGCCTGAGCAATGCAGAAAAGTAAAATAGTGTGCACCCTGCACACACATGAGCCCGTAAGTGTAAAATGAAAAGAACGCTCCCTACAGTGAGAGCACAGTCAGTTTCTCTTGTTCAAACGTAGACCTCTGCTGACTTCCTTTTGATTTCTTCAGTGAGTGGTATGTGGTCGAAACTCCATGAGTTAGCGTAATACTCTAGTTTCTCTTGCTATTGATGTGGAGTTTTATTCCATTGGATTGCTACAGACACTTCATTATGAGTGGAGTCACAATATTTATTTCTTACATCTGGCTTAGTTAGCATAATGTCTTCAAGGTTCATCTATGTTGTAGCATGTGTCAGAACTCCCCTATTAAGTCTGAATGATAGTTGTTTGTGCGTACTGTATTTTTAAAATCCCCTCCATCCATCTTGAGAACATTTATGTTGTTTTCACTTCCTAGCTATTGTGAATAATGCTGCCATGGACCCTGGTATACACTGCTAAATCAATGCTTTCATTTCTTGGGTCATGTATATGAAAAAGAGATTAGATAACATGGTAATTTATGCTAATTTTACGAGTTTAGCTGCTTTCATTTTCTGTTTCTACCAGCACTAGGTCCTCCCCCTTTCCTTCACATCTCATTTCCTGGTTGTTGTTGGGTTTTTTATTTATTTATTATGTATACAATGTTCTGTTTGCATGCATTTCTGCATGCCAGAAGAGGGAGCCAGATCTCATTACAGATGGTTGTGAGCCACCATGTGGGTGCTGGGAATTGAACTCAGGACCTCTGGAAGAACAACCAATGTTCTTAACCTCTGAGCCATCTCACCAGCCCTCCTGGTGTTTTTATGACAGCCATCCTAACGAGTGTAAAGTACTGTCCGAGTTTTTCTATTGATTAGTGGTGGTGAGCCTATTCCGTGTGCTAATTGACCACCTATATACCGGTTTGTTTTTTTTTTAAGAAATGTCTTTTCAAGCCCTTTTCTCCTTTGTAGTGGGTTGCTTAGGGTGTTTTTGTGATTTTAGGACTTACTTTATTTATATACTCTGCATATTAACCCTTACCAATATGCGTTTTGCAAGTATTTTCTCCTATTTTATGGGTTTGCTTTGCACTGTTTATGGTGTCTTGATGCATATCCATTTTTAACTTGAGTAACTCTAAATATCTAATTTTGTTGTATTTTGTGTGCTTTTGTCCAGGTCATTCTTAACTGTTCAGCCCTCCCTTGCCTCCTCCACCTGCTGAGCAGCTCTAAGGAGTCAATCCGGAAGGAAGCTTGCTGGACCATTTCAAACATCACTGCTGGTAACAGGGCTCAAATACAGGTAGATTTGCTTCCAAAAAAAGCACTTGTTTCCCATTAGAAATTGGAGCCAAAAAAAAGGAAAAGAAATTGGAGCAAAGGATGAGCAGTGTAGCCCAGTGGTAGAAAGTCCGCCTAATGTGTGCAAGGCCTGGATTCAGTGCCCACACCACCAAACAGTTGGGGTCAGCACGACTAGTTGGCCAAAGGCTCTGCATAGTGGAAGCAAGGTTCCCCGACACCTTGTCAGCTCTCTGGTGAGAGCAAAGGAGAACTTTGAGGTGGGTTAATGGAGAGAAGCCTAAGTCAGAAGTGATTTGGGGACTAGGTTTGCTCTATGTTCATCTTTTTCTCTGAGACATATCCTATCCTACCTCTGCCTCCCAAGTGTCTCATAGGCCCCAGGCTAGCCTCAAATGACCTTGAATTCCTGATTTCCTACCTCCACCATCCAAGTATTGGGATTACACAATCATGTTACCATTCCTGACCTTTGTGCTTTTTCTCCGTAAACTACCTTTCTGCCTCCATCCTCCTTCCTCATTCTCTTTCAGGCTGTCATCGATGCAAACATCTTCCCTGTGTTGATCGAAATCCTTCAGAAAGCAGAGTTCCGTACAAGGAAGGAAGCAGCCTGGGCCATCACCAATGCCACATCAGGAGGAACCCCTGAGCAAATCCGGTATGATTCCTTTCCCAACATCTTAAATGGTATGTGTGGTCTCCTTTGTTCTTGGTATTCTGATAACTCTAAATGGCTTTTGATGGGAAAGGTCTGCCCTAATCTAACTGTAATAAGGTTTAACTGGTAAGCTGCTAAATGATACTAGACTCTGGAATAGATTCCTGTGTTGTTTGTTGATGGTGGTTATTTTCCACCATTGAGACAAGCTGGCCTATCCTGTCTCTGCCTCCCAAGTGCTGGGATCGTGTGCACACACCTCTGTATCAGGCTAGGGCTTGAGTGTTTTGTTTGTTTGCAATGAGGGCTCTCCTGAGTTTGTGGTCTCTCCATGCCCAGTTTGGACATGAGCTCCTTTATTCTAGTTTGCATCATCTGAACAATAGGAGGGATTGTGGAAATTGGTTAGGTGTTTTTCCCTCTAATTATAACCTACTAAAGGGAGTATATATAGTCTGTACATATAAAGTCCCAGGAGAAAGGAAGAGCTATTGAATTAATATAAATGTAAATATAAAATTAACATAATGTAAAATTAATAAAAGGAAAACAGCAGCTGGATATGATGGTGTACAACTTAAACCTAGGATTTTTTTTTTTGTTTTTTTTTTTTTTTGTTTTTTTTTTGTTTTTCGAGACAGGGTTTCTCTGTAGCTTTGGAGCCTGTCCTGGACTAGCTCTGTAGACTGGGCTGGCTTCAAACTCACAGAGATCCGCCTGCCTCTGCCTCCCGAGTGCTGGGATTACAGACCTGCGCCACCACCGCCCGGCAAACCTAGGATTTCTGGAGGCAGAGGTAGCCAGATCTCTGAATTTGAGGCCAGCATGATCTATAGAGTGAATCCTAGGCTAGCAAGGGCTACCTAGAGAAACCAGGTTTGTTTTTTTTTTTTTTTTTTTCCGTTTTTCGAGACAGGGTTTCTCTGTGTAGCTTTGCGCCTTTCCTGGGACTCGCTTGGTAGCCCAGGCTGGCCTCGAACTCACAGAGATCCACCTGGCTCTGCCTCCCGAGTGCTAGGATTAAAGGCGTGCGCCACCACCGCCCGGCGAAACCAGGTTTTAAAAGGGCTAAGGGGAGGGGCTGGAGAGATGTCTCAGTGGTTAAGAGCACTGGCTGCTCTTCCAGAGGACCCAGGTTCAATTCCCAGCACCCACATGGCAGCTCACAACTGTATGTGACTCCACTTCCAGGGGACCTGACACCCTTACACCAATGCACATAAAAATAAAATTAAATAAATTAAAAATAAATAAATAAAAGGGCTCAGGGGGATTAAATACAACATTATATTGTATGCCTATTAGATAAGAAAACAATATACAAAAAGGTCCAAGAATCTGGAGATCTTCACAGATTTGACTACAATTTAATAACCTCGGAAAGGAATATTCTGAGTAGAGCTAAAGTGGTAGGAGCCAGATTGTAGGCAGTCTTTATTAATATAAAATAGAGGTTGTACTCAAGAAAATAAGGAACTCGAAGAATGAATTTATTTGTTTGTTTGGTTTGGTTTTTCAAGACAGGGTTTCTCTGTAGTTTTGGTGCCTGTCCTGCATCTTGCTCTGTAGCCCAGGCTGGCCTCCAACTCACAAAGATCCACCTGCCTCTGCCTCCGGAATGCTGAGATTAAAGGCGTGCGCCACCGCCACTTGGCCTGAAGAATTTCTTAATGTGTCTAGAGTGATAATATTGTAGCCAAAGTGACGTTAGGACTCTGGTGTGTTCATTAGGAAACTAGATCAGTGGCAGAGTGCGGGGAGAGAGATTAAGGTGAGGGACAGGGGATTATCAAGACTCAGGAAGAACTCACTGTTGAAAGTATTGGTTTGTATGAGGGAGACCCTGGGTAAAGCGCCTGCTCAGCACTTTACTTGTTCTGCATTAGTTTGGAGCTTACTTCATCTCTCATCCCAGGTACCTGGTGTCACTGGGCTGCATCAAACCCCTGTGTGACTTGCTAACTGTAATGGATTCAAAGATTGTGCAAGTAGCCCTCAATGGACTAGAGAACATCCTGCGGCTTGGAGAGCAAGAGGGCAAGCGTAGTGGCTCAGGGGTCAATCCCTACTGTGGCCTCATTGAGGAAGCCTATGGTGAGTTCTCTCCCTGACCTATGTCTGTTAGTAGGGAAGATGTTGGAGCACAGCCACACATTTTATGAAACTTGAGTCTGTTTATTTTTTTATTTTTTACTACATTTATTTATCCACTCATTTGTGTATGTGTACATGTATTAGTGTGAGCGCACATGATAAGGCACACGTGGGTATGGAGGTCAGAGGACAACCTGGAAGAGTCAATTCTTCTCTCTTCCCACCATGTGGGTTGTCAGAACTGTCAGGTTTGGCAGCAGACACCTTTACCTGTCAAGTCGTCTCATCAGCCTTCAAGTCTGTGCTTTTAAGGAAGTGATGAGTTCCTGTCCCAGCCAAGCTATACCATGCATAGGGTTACAGACCTTTCCTTGGGAGTAACTGGCATGTACTGACTAGCCAGGTAGCTAGAACTAATTAGTATACAAGTTTTCTTGTCCCACCAGTTCCTTCTCTCTCTGAGGAGCGATAGGTCAGTGTTAATCTCATAGGCTCCTCTACCTACCTCAAAAGTAGGAATGGCAGAGATGCAAGGGGGAACAGTCCACGATTTGATAGACTACTACCAGGAGCTAAAAAGATACCAGTCTCTCCAGTAGAAATACTGGATTGCAGCCGGACAGTGATGGTGCATGCCTTTAACCCCAGCACTCGGGAGGCAGAGGCAGGCAGATCTCTGTGAGTTCAAGGCCAACGTGGTTTACAGAGCAAGTTCCAGGACAGCCAGGGCTACACTGAGAAACCCTTTGAAGAACAAAAAAATATATGCACACACACGCACACACACACATATACACCCGCACCCGAACACTGGATTGCCTTAACCAACCAATCTCAGAAGAGGCAAATCATGATTTGCCCAGAGTTAAAGCAGGATTTGGACTCGAAGTTGTAATTTGTGTGTGCCCCAGATCCTTACATGAATACATGTGTGTGTGAACCAGAGGTCAGCCTCAGCCTCAGGTCTTGTTCCTAAAGAGCTCGACCCCTTGTTTTTTGAGAGGTCCCTGAGATAGATGCAGGGCTCACTGAGGAAGCCCTGCTGACAAACCAAGCAGAAAGGCCCAGGCAGTCTGCCCCATCACCATCATCGTCCCCACCCTGCTAGGACTGTAAGTGCCTCCCACCTTTCCTGGACTTGCCTTCTGGGGAGCAAACTCATGCTTTAGGGGCAATCACTTTACAACTGAGGTGGTGTTCTCGCTCCCTGGAGCCTCTAATATCAGCTGACACTTTGACGTCATTTCTTCGGCAATTTTATAATTTGGGGAGGGGTCATCGACTCCTTTTTCAAGTCAAGGAATGATGTGATCTCACTACTTTCATTTGGAAATTTGTCCCCTGGGAAAAGAAAAATACATAATTGTTTCTTCTTGCCACCATAGGCTTGGATAAAATTGAGTTTCTCCAAAGCCATGAGAACCAGGAAATCTACCAGAAGGCCTTTGACCTCATCGAGCACTACTTTGGTGTGGAAGATGACGACAGCAGCCTGGCTCCTCAGGTGGATGAAACGCAACAGCAGTTCATCTTCCAACAGCCTGAGGCCCCCATGGAGGGCTTCCAGCTATAATGTCTGCCTCCAGGGAGGGGAGGGCATGGGAAGCACCACCAGCCAGCAGAAGAGCAGCCCTCTGGTGGGCAGGAAAAGAGCCACCCCACCAGCAACCACCATCCACCTGCTGCCCTGGAGACTGTGCTCTTGACCTGCTCATCCCCTTCCCTGGAGGGAGCACCCTCTGGACAGACAGAACCGTCTGAGGCTCACACTGGGTTTTGTGACAAGAAGGGGCGTGTGGGTCTTTCTTCCTTACACTTTATTTTGGCTGCACACATGTCTTTAACCCAGGAGCCCAGGGGTAGACAAAGGAGGACTGAGGTAATCAATTTGCACCTTTAAAATTTTTTTCTTTTATTTTCTTTAGTGGTGACTTCCTTCCCATTTATCTTGCTTCATCCATCCCAGTCCTCTGCCCTGATGTGTGTAACTCTTATCTTGGGTACTTGAGCAGATGGAATATTCCCAGAGGTGGGAGGTGGGAGGGGAGGGGAGAAGTCCAAAACAAAGTGTTCTTGCTCTGACCGAATATTAATCTTGTATGCTTGGATTGGTTATTTAAGTTTTTCTTTTGCACATTTTTCTTGTATTAAGGTTGTTCTTCCCAAAAAGCTGGTTTTTAGAAACCCAGCTGCCAGCACTGTCTGGAAATAGAGGCTAATGTGGAGGCCCCACACACACAAAGGTCCCTCCCTCCCCTGTGCCTAAAACCTCCCCCTTACTCTCCTGGAACCAATACACCAGTGTGAGTGGGAGGGAGGAGCACAGGCCTGCAGACAGGGCTTCCCTTGTGTAGCTACTGACCCTGTATCCTGCCCACCTCCTAAATGGTGCGACCCAACTTCATTTGTTTACTTGAAAATTCACCTCAGAGTTGAATGAACCTCTGAGGTGGCTGTGTTTTCTCCTGAGCTTGAGATGGGGGGCTGTGGTCCTTCCTTCTCCTGAGGAGAAAGTCCTTGCTCTGATGACCCATAAGTTGCAGAGGAGGTTGGAGTCAGTGTCGTGTATTGGGATAGTCAGAAATCCCTGCCTTTGGCCTTTCTTCTTCCTTCTGCCATAGTTGGATCATGTATATTTTACTTCCAAAGGAGAGAATGTCAAAAAGTTCCATATTTTTTTTTATATTCTGTATTTTAAGTAGGTCAGTCTTCATTGGTCTTAGGAGGACAAAGCGTCTGTGAGTGCGATACTGTAAGGAAGACCAGAAAGAGGTGTAGAAGCTTCAGGCTCAAAGGACTAACTTGGTCCTTTTCTTCTCTGCTTGGATTCTGGGCTACCACTTGGGACCAACTCTTACCTCCGGAGCCTTTATGAAGTAAATCATCCTGGGCTGATTGTCCCAGTACCTGAAGGGAGCAAAGAGGGCCTCAGGGCCTGGTGAAGTCTGCTGCTCTGGCCCTTGCTTCTGAGCAGAAAGCAGCCTGCCTTCTTCTCTAACTCAGTGTCAGGCCCTGCTACCCAGCTAAGTCACGACACAGCTGCCTCACCTATTACCAGAGAACCTTGTTGACCTGGACACTTTGAGAGCTGTTGGCATCTCCCTTCTGCAGGTCCTTGTACCTAGCTTGAATTTCGCCTTTCTTGTGACAGTTACAGACACCTTTTTTTCTTTCTTTAAGTAAAGCTAGTTCAGTGCCTCAGAAGGTGGCCTGTGTTTTAGTAGGTTACACGTTACACTAAAACTGAGCTCTGGAGGCAGGGAATACGGTACACTGTCAGCTAGTATAGACCAACTGTGGAACTGGCAGCATAGTACCCCACTGTGGTGAAGCCGAGGTATCCCGGCCTCATCTACGCTTCTCTTTCTCCAGGAACGGTGGTCTTCTTACTCCTGTTCCCACAGGTCTCCCTTGGGCTCCCACACTTGGCAGATCTGAAGTTCAGGCTCTTGTTATTGGTCATTGGCTTTCAGTTAGCTGTGTCCTTTAGTTTTCAGGCCTTGCTCCTAAGAAAAGTAGTTCAGAGCTGGCGGTTGATACTGAAAGCTGTGACCAACATTGGAACACATTGGCGAGCCAAATACTTTTATTCACCCTCTGGCCTTCTGGTAAGGCAATTTATTATTATTATTTTTTTTTAACCTGGCCTGCAGCTAAACTGCTCCTAGTTCAAAGAAAAGCCCTCTGTAACTGCCATCATCACCCTTGCCTGAAGAGTAGAACACTGTAGTAGGATCTACTCTGAACATCTCAAGCAACAGTTAAGCTCCTGGCATTGGAGCCAGAGTCTCGGTATGAGACATAAATGTCCTGCTCGCCCCATCCTTTCTCCACTATCTCTTTGGCTGGATCTAGTACCAGATGGAAGAAGTTGGTTCCCTAGCTGCTCTAAGCATCCCACACTGAAGTCCTCTTTAGTGACTGACAGAGTGGTCAGTCCTAGACACTCTCTTCAGTCTCCAGCTCTCACCAGTGACTACAAGCCTGATGTTGGCTGCAGCCTTCTGGTAGAACCGTATGAGTTCCAGCCTGTTTGGCGCCATTGTTACTTGGGTCTGTGGACACACGCTTCCAAGAAGCAGGTGTTGATGACCTTTTTTTTTTTTTTTTGAGATCTTTGGTCCCCTTTACCTGGGACCTTATATCTACTGCTTCTCCCTTCTGTACATGGAAGTCATCTCCCAGGAGCCTGTGTGCTGAAGCTAACCACAGGTTATAGCTGCTATTACATTTAGCTAAGAGAGATGAAAAGAAGGTTCTTACACATGGACTTTCTACTTCCCTGACACCAATCCAGTCAAAAGACAAACTTCCGTGGAGGAACTCTTTCTACTCCTGTCTGCCTGGAATCTTCGCAGTTCCACCCTCCTGCTCCACATGCCTTCTTTGAAGGCTTCTGCTCTTTTCATTCAGACCTCATTCCTTCTCTCCCAGGCTCACTCACTGTGGCATCCATCCTCTCGTGTATTCTTCAGGCTCAGGGTCTAACTTCTCGAAGGCCAAAAGCCAGCTTCTCCAGGTCCCTTCAGACCCAGGAGGGAGACAGGATGATGGCAAGCTTCCCTAGCAGGCTGGGGAAGGGTACAAGGCTCTGTGCACTGAAACATGGGAGATTGTGAGCAGCAGCAGCAGCTTCAGGTGTCACTCTCCTGCGAGGCAGTAAGAGACAGACTTCTGGCGCAGTCTAGACCAACCTTATCCAGTATTTTTTCTGTTTTACCTTTTGTATTCTTTTGTTAAGCCAACGAACTGAGAATTTGCCCCTCTAAGGATCCATGTGGTGGACACTAGCTGCTCTTTGGCCAAAGGCCTTCATAACTGATCGTTTCCCAGTGTCCCCTAGTCCCACCCCAGAAGAAGACAGGCATGGCAATGGAAGAATTTGAGGTCAACTCCAACCGAATCTGAATGAAAACCTAGTTTCCTTTTGAGAGAGCATCTTTTTTGAAGCCTGAACTACGTGCAGGACCAAAGCTGGCTGGAAAAAGCAGCCATAAATTGGGGAACCTGAACACCAGAGGGCAAAGGCTTGTGTGATGTGTCTTCAAGGGCTTGGGCTTACCTACCTACTTCTAGGCCAGCCTGACTTCTAATGCTCACACTAGCACATGCTGATGACGCCCACTAGCCCTGCACTCCTGTGGCTCTGATTTTAATGTTTAGAAAGAAAGTGATCTACCATGTGCAGGGAGCTGTGAAGGAAGTCACAGTTCAGGTCCTGAGACTGCCTGGAAACTATGTCAAAGGTTCACACCATGAACCCTCAGAAGCTGGAGGTGGGTATTGGCTTTTTTAGCCGGCTTTTTTGGGAAATGTCTTTTTTGACCTATTTAAATAAATGAAGTGGGTATGAGGTCTCAGCTACCCAGCAGACAGAACATCACCCAAGGACAGCTTGGGTTTCCAGGTAAGAACCCTAGAAAGGTGAATTTAATCCTCACAGGTTTTGCTTTCCAAATTCATTTGCTTTTATTTTTCTAAGAACTGTAAACTCTATTTTTTCATGTTCTCAGGGCCCCTGGGTAGACAAACAAAGCTTGATTTCAGAGCAGAAATAGGCCAAGAAACCATGGCATTGAGTGTGCTGAGTCCAGACAAATGATATTTATATACACATCCAAATTTGAAGAGAAAATGTATTTCTTTAGGTTTCAAACACTGTAATAGATACAAAGCAAAAATAAAAACCTGTTGCAAAGTTCTAAATTGACTTCTTCGGTTTGGAGTGACGTTTATTGGGAAGTAACGTAAGACCTGAGATGTCCATGTATGTCCTGCCTAGCATGTATGAAGCCCTGGATCCAAACCTCAGCACCATGCAAGCCAGATAGATACTGGTTTGTAGAGGCAGGATGCCAGCCTGGCTGTATGAAACCCTATCTCAAAAACAAAGGGGGCCATCAAGATGTCTCAGCAGCTAAAGGCATTAGTTAGCAGTGCAGTGGCAGTAGTATCAGGTTGTTGGGGAGGGAGCCCTGTGCTCTGGTAATTACCAAGCACTGTCTACTCTTCATATGGTGAAGCCAGTGTCAGTGCTGCTCGCCAACACTGGATAGGATTTGGATGTGTGAGATCACGCTTTGGCCAGAATGGTAGCACATGACTATAACCCCAGCGCTTGGTGGGGGAAGGCAGAGCCAGGAAGGTTGGGAGCTGAAGATTATTGGCTGCCTAGTGAGTTCAAGGCCAGCTTAGGCTACATGAGTTCCTATGTAAAGAAAAAAAAATTGCTAGGCATAGTGGTATACACCTTTATTCCCAGCACTCCAGAGGAAGATGATAAATTTGTACTTTATCAGTGGGAATGACAGTTACATCAGGGTGCTGGAGGAGGTGTGTGTTCGTTGCCCCAGCTGGGCAACGGTAACATCAGCCTAAGTGCATATACATGCATTTGGAGGTCAGAGGCCACAAGCCCTTCAAGGATAGGAGCCCTACTGTGTTTTGTGTGGTGCTGGGATTATAGTCTCATTCTGACCCAACCAGCTTTAGAGCTCAGTGTCTGTATGGCAGGCTCTTTACCAACTGAATCATCTCCCCAGTGCCTATGGGTTTTTTCTTTGAATAGGCTTTAGTGAAATATAATTGGCATACAATAAATTGTATGTTTAAAATGTTAATTTTGAGCCAGGCGGTGGTGGCCCATGCCTTTAATCCCAACACTCAGGCAGGCGGATCTCTGTGAGTTCAAGGCCAGCCTGGTCTACAGGGTGAGTTCCATGACAGCCAGGGCTACACAGAGAAACCCTGTCTCGAAAAACCAACTCCCCCCCCTCAAAAAATGTTAATTTTGGTAAGTTGATGCATACCCATGAAACTATCACCACAGTCAAGATTATGAACATCCATCACCTCCCTATGCTTCTGTATGCCCTGGGAACCCTCTCTGCTCCATTCCCATTTATCTTGACCTCTTCTGGTTCAGCATTACCTCACATCCCACAAACTCTATGAAAGTTGGATGTTCACAGACTCTCCAGTTGAGAGACTAGTCAAGCAATGGACACCTGATTAAACCCACACGGAAGGTTTTGGTTGGAAGACTGGTTTTAATCAGTTCATTTATTTCCTTTCCTCATTTCCCCCCCCTGTACTGTGTGTTATACCCAAGGCTTCAAATACTAGGTAGAGTCCTAGTGATAGGGGAGGCTAGGTCAGGTGTCATCTACTTGCCAGGTATCATTTGAGACAGGAATGTCAGTGTGTCAGCTACCCTGGAGACCAATGACATGATCAATTGTTGGTAGTACCCTGGCAGACAGGCATTTAACTTTTGTTTTGTTTTTCAAGACATGGTTTCTCTGTGCAATAGCCCTAGCTGTCCTGGTACTAGCTCTGTAGATCAGGCTACCCTCGAACTCATAGAGATCTTCCTGCCTCTGCCTCCCAAATGCTGGAACTAAAGGCATGTGCCACCACTGCCCAGTGCATTTAACTTTTTTTAAAAGGAGGCAAATTGCCCCTGGTTGCCCAGGCCTCAATCTGACCTACTTGGGAGACTAAGGCAGGAGGATCCACGGCAAGAACCAGCAAAATGCTCAGCAGGTACGGGCACTTTTTGCCAAGCCCCAGAACTCTGACTTCAACACAAGTACTGTAGCACTTGAACACCCACATATATACATTACATACACAAATTAAATAGAAAAAAAGTAGGGACAAATTCCAAAGCCAGCCTGGGCTAGAATGAGATCATACTGAGACCTGCTTCAAAATGGAAAGAAAGAAGGCTTAGAATGTAGTTCAAGGGTAATGCCATTGGCTAGCAAGTATGTGCTTTTGTTTCAATACCTAACACAAACACAAAAGGAAGCCGGGCGGTGGTGGTGGCGGCGGCGGCGGCGGCGGCGGCGCACGCTTTTAATCCCAGCACTCAGGAGGCAGAGCCAGGTAGATCTCTGTGAGTTCGAGGCCAGCCTGGTCTACAGAGCGAATTCCAGGCAAGGTGCAAAGCTACACAGAAAAACCCTGTCTCAAAAAAAACAAAAAAATAAATAAAAAATAAAAAAAAAAAAAGGAAGCAGGTTACAAACATAGTGGAAATCTCCACCTGTAACTCCAAGCCTTGAACTCATTTCAGTTAGTGATAAAGATCTATGAGCTGTTTGTGACTCACTGCAAAGTCAAACATGAACCGCTGACCCAGGCTTTACAGGAGCTCACAACTAACCAAACCAAAGGTAAACTGACAGTATAGATGTGGTATTGATTCACCCCGACCCAAGTCAGCAACACAAGAAGGGAAACTGGTAGCATGCAGCTTCAACCCCTTACCTCGGGTCTAGTCCACACAGAACAATGCTCAGCTGACTATAGGCTAAACCCAATGGTGTTATCTATTTCCTCTTTGATTGGCCCAAAAGAGTGAGAAACCTCCAATAAAAATAACAAGGAAGGGGCTGAAGAGATGGCTCAGCGGTTAAGAGCACTGGCAGTTGTTCTTCCAGAGGTCCTGAGTTCGATTCCCAGCACTGACATGGCTTACAGCCATCTATGAGATCTGGTGCCCTCTTCTGGCCTGAACATATACATGCAGGCAGAACACTGTATATATGATAAAATCTTTAAAAAAAAAAAAAACCTGACTCTTTAAAACAAGGAAGTGCTAGGTATAGGAAGTGCTGGGTATGGTTCAGTGTTTAAGAGCACTTACAGAGGATCCAAGTTTGGCTCCCAGCACCCACATGAGACAGCTCAGAACCACCTATAACTCCAGTTCGAAGAGATCTTCATAGCCTCCATACACTCCAGAGACACATGTAATGGACAGATATACATGAAGTCAAAACACCTATACACAGAACATAAGAACATGAGCAAAATAATAATAATAATAATAATAATAATAATAATAAGAAGAAGAAGAAGAAGAAGAAGAAGAAGAAGAAGAAGAAGAAGAAGGAAGGGAGGAACTGGAGAGATGGCTCAGTGGTTAAGATCACTTACTTAAAGGATCCGGAGTTCAGCTCCCAGCACTCACATCAGGGTCCGTAAAATTTTTTTAAAGACTTGTTTTGGTCCTAAAGATTTTTTTTTTCATTCCAAGTAATGTGTATATGGGCATGTATATATGGGCGCCATGGGTGTGCCTGGTGCTTTTCTAGGCCAGAAATGGGTATAATATGATGCAAGTGTGTGCCTGTGTGTCACACACAAACCTAGTGAGCAAGAAAAGCATGAATATGGGGTGGGAGGTATAGCAGGAAAGGTCAACAGTAGCCTGCAGGGGCCATCTTGTAGGCAAGGAATACAAGAGCTGATGAAAATGTGGTGTAAGAATTTGATTTCTGAGCTGGGCATGGTGATGCATGCCTTTAATCCCAACACTCAGGAGGCACAGGCAGGTGGATCTCTGTGAGTTCGAGGCCAGCCTGGTCTACAGAGTGAGTTCCAGGACAGCCAGGGCTATACAGAGAAACCCTGTAATTGAAAAACCAAAAAAGAAAAAAAGAATTTGATTCCTAGGGCTGGGGAGATGGTTCAGTGGTATGATTCCTGGGGCTGGGGAGATGGTTCATGCACTTCCTGAGGGGGCCCAGCACCTATGTCAGGCAGTTATGAACTTCCTATAACTCCATTTCCATGGATTCCAACACCCTCTCAGGCTACCAGATGTAACATACATATACACATACATACACATAAATAAAAAATTTTAAAAATGATTTTGATTTCTCCCTTGCATATGTCGGGGTCTAGGAGACAATGAAAGGGAGCCAATCAAGACTCAGCAGTGCTTCCCCAGCAGAGAGGAAGCCGGTATGGTCAGGCAGTGCTTCTCAAGGCCTATTTCGTGACTTTAAGAAATGCTCTGGGTGCCTTAGTAGCTCAGTGGTAGTGTTTCCAGAGGACACAGGGGTCCTTTCACAGGTTCTCAGTCTTACAGATAAGAGTTTCAAAATGGAGTGGAAAGAAATGACCATTTTTGTTTTGTTTTGGTTTTTTGTTTTTTTTTTTCCAGACAGGGTTTCTCTGTGTAGCTTTGTGCCTTTTCTGGATCACACGCTGTAGACCAGGCTGGTCTTGAACTCACAAAGATCCGCCTGCTTCTGCCTCCCGAGTGCTGGGATTAAAGGCGTGCGCCACCACCGCCCGGCCAAGATGACCATTTTAATAGAGTTTAGAAAAGAAAAAGAACAGAATGGGCGAGCTGGAGGTCTGGTGATAGGAAGGATATGAAAAAGGAAGCTCTGTTTTAGAGGAGGATGATACAACTTAGAGAACAAGGTGCACATTGAAGAACCTGTGGCAGGAGCCTTTGTTCCTTGTAGTTAAAATATTATTCTCATTTATGTGTGTCTGTGTGAGGTTATGTGCACCACGTGTGCAGGAGTTCACAGAAGCCAGAGGGCGTCAGATCCCTTAAGAACACTGGTTCTCAACCTTCCCAATGCTGTAACCCTTTTATACAGTTCCTCTTGTTGTGGTGACCCCAACCATAAAATTATTTTCATTGCTACTTCATGAATGCAATTTTGCTACTGTCTCACTAAATTGCCCTGGCTGGCCCCAAACACACTAGATTGCCCAGACTGACCTTGAATTTGCCATCCTCCTTCAAGTGTATGGCACTATGGTGGCCCACTTAGTCAATTCTCCCCATCCCCATTTATTTATTTACTTGTGTGTGGGTATATTTATCAGTATGATTATACACACATGTATGGTTGCATGGAGACCAAAAGAGGGTTTAAATATCCTCCTCGATTG